AAAGGATTAACCCCTCATAATATGACAAATCAAGATTCAAGTTCCAAATTACTTCCAATAAAATAATACTTACATTTAGTGTTCGACAGTACTTCGAATATAATCACTTTCAATAAAGTGATACTTACATTTAGTGCTCGACAATACCTCTAATAGAATTACTTTCCAATAAGAGGATATCTAACTTTAATTAAAAAAAAAAACATGTGTTTTTTCCCAAATAAGCAAATTCATCCGTTTCTTTTTAAAAGACAATGTTTTTTTAATTAATCAGGAGAAGAATGAGTAAAGGAGAATAGAATGTTTAATAAAAGGTATTTATGAAAAGATAAAAACAGTTTTTAAAAGACAACAATTAGTTTTTATTGGTTTATGTAAAAAGAACAATAGGCAAAATGTGAGAGGGTTTTTTGGGCTAAAAATGAGAGAAAATATAGTCTAATATTATTCTAATTTGTATCAATTTATCATAATCTCTAGATATCTAATATTATAAAGTAGGCGCATATATTTTGTTGAATACTTTAATATAATTAAATCTGAATATTACAGTTATATTTTGTTGTCAAAATCTGAATATTATAGTTCAAAAATTATTTGTACAAGAGAATATTGAGCCGGCCGCCCACACAAAGAAATTAAAGCATGAAAAGATGACTTCCGTAGGTGAGTTTGAGACAATAGATTTGCCCGCCTCAAAACTTTGATCGCAACGGCACCAACAACACCTCCCAAACAGCGCTTACCACACCCAATCTCCTCCTCTTCCTACACTCATCGCAACCACTCTGCGTTCTCTCTCGTTCCTTCACGCCTCCTCTCTCTCTCTCTCTCTCTCTCAAATCCACCGTTGTTAGGCGCACGCTTTCCACCACCTTTCTTCTTTCTTTCTCTTCACGTTTATTCTCTCCCGAAGCCACGCGCATGGCGTTCCTTGTCGGCCTCGTGCTCGGAATCGTCGTCGGCGTTGCTCTCATCGTCGGATTCGCCCGTTATGAGAATGCTAGATCCAAGCTCCGGTCTGAGCTTGCTGAAACGATTGCCGCTTTGGCCCGGATGACCGTTGAAGATTCCAGGAAGATCTTGCCTCCTCAGTACTATCCTTCTTGGGTTGTCTTTTCTCAGAGGCAAAAGTTGAGCTCTCTGTCCCCTGTTTTTCTTGCTGACTGTTCTGCATTTGACGGTCTTTTGATCAATGGGAGCTGAGACTGACATTTCCGATATTTGTTTATTTATTTTTAATGTCTTCAGTTGACTTGGCTGAACTCACATCTAACTAAGATCTGGCCCTATGTTAACGAGGTAACTTCTGTGGCATTCAACATTCAGTTCCTGAACAATGTTGGATTTAGTATCTATAACTCTATGGATGTGACTAGCTTTTCGTAAATCGGGTTCTAGGCTGCTTCTGAGCTCATAAAGGCATCCGTGGAACCAATTCTCGAACAATATAGACCGGTGATTTTGGCCTCATTGAAATTTTCGAAGTTCACTCTAGGTACAGTAGCCCCACAGTTTACAGGTGAGCTCAACTTTGAGTCAAATGACTTTATGAGTTCAGTTAATCAGGCCTTCGTTAAGTGCCATTTACTGATGTCGTCTCCCGCTTTTGTGTAATTAAAAAATTAATGGACTACATTATCGTGATGGTATACATGCTTATTTGTTGATTCACGGCTTTGCCACCTGGAAACGTGCTGTCATTTTTAGTTTTCTCTTTGTTCTTGTTAGGATTCTTTGCCGGATCCTCTTACCAATAGGTGTTTTAGATGTCATTGGAGAATCTAATGTTTTGAAGCCATTGATTAGGAGTATCTATAATAGAAGATGGAGGGAGCGGCGTCACAATGGAGTTGGAAATGAATTGGGATGGGAATCCAAGTATTGTACTTGATATTAAGACACTAATTGGTGTTGCACTGCCAGTACAGGTACTCATGAACTTCCTGAATCACCTCTGCTTTCTCATTTCGGCTATCTGATTAGAAATGGATTGATAAGGATTATGCCATGAAAGTTCTCTCTGTCGTTACCTGTAAGAAGTCCAAGATAACGAGGCCAAAGCTTGTCTTTTCCATTCCATCAGACTATAGTAACTTGTAAATTCAATTACGTCCGAAGTCTTATCCATTGAGTTTCAGAGCTGATCGCAAACCTGAGACTTACTGGTTCTTTTATTGTTTACATTTCAGTAATTAGATTCCAATCTAACATATTTATTAATATAAGTGAAATTTATAATTTGAAGCTTCGCATCTGTGGAATCAAAGGTTAATCATGGAGTGTATATCTTTTTTGCACTATTTAAAAACAATTGTCTGGTATCTGCATTTTGGCATTTTCTGAAAGGTTTGTATCGTTGTTTGTTTTTGCTGATTCTTCTACTAATTCACTGCCAGGGGCATGCTTATGGGTAATGGCTTTCTAAATGTTAGATACCAGTCATTTGTGCTTAAGTAACGTATTGAACTGATGTGGTGATTAAATCGATCTTATAATCTCCGTCCAGGTAAAAGATATAGGATTCACAGGTGTTTTCCGGCTGATTTTTAAGCCACTTGTTGATGAATTTCCTGGCTTTGGAGCTGTTAGCTACTCTTTGAGGCAAAAGGTGCGGTATCCATGCATGGTCTATAATGATTCATTCTTTATCATATAAAACTTGGGTTTATATTTTTTCCGGATCCAACCATAAAATTTTAATAAAATGAACTTATAATTTTGTTGTAAGAACTGGCATAATTTTTGTATTAAACTTCTTTTTTTTTTTTCAGTTGAATTTAGTACATTTTTCCATCTATTGATTGATTTTGAGTTTCCCCAATATTGCATATAAATCGAATTGTCATATACTTGATGGAAGAAGTCAGAATGAAAGTTTTGCTTAGTGCCTAGAGATTATAGACGGTGACTGACATTGATTTGTCGATAGAAAGATATGGATGATTTAAAACATGCGTATGCACCGAAGATGGAAAGCTGCCCTGCCAGCAGCTAGAGAAACACGGTTTAAAGCTTGATGAAACATCAATTTGTTAATCAGTCGGTAGGTGGAGAGTGGATCAAATATATAATTATCCTTTGACAGTTCGTCGTATGAATTTAAGTTTAAAGTACTAATGAATATTCTATGTAAGCCAAGGTAGTGTTGAATCATCAAGAAATTTTTCTAAATCATGGACTTAGAGGTTGAGTCTGCTAATATCCGTCCCAATTCCCGTTTCCAGTAACTTTTAGCATATGCACATACTAGTGTAATGCATTTGATCACATTCAGAAAATTCCAACTTGCAGAAAAAATTGGATTTCACGTTGAAAGTTGTTGGTGGAGATATATCAGCAATCCCCGGCTTAGCCGATGCAATTGAGGTTTGAACTCGCATTGTCCATTACCTATATCGGATACCAGTGTGCAGCTTTGCATAGTTGTATATATACTTTGTTTCCTCATCTTCGCCAAATAAGAGGGAAGTTAAAAAGTACCGGGAGTAACTAACTGTCACCATCATGAAAAAACTTTTTGTAGCAAATGATTTATCAAGAAAATTATATAAGCTTAGCAGAAAAGCAAAAGAAGACCTAAATAGTAATTTGGTATTTATCGATGCATGAACAAATAATTAGTCTATCAAATTACTGCAGGGGTCAATTCGGGATGCTGTTGAAGATTCTATTACATGGCCTGTGAGAAAAGTTGTACCCATCCTGCCTGGAGATTACAGGTAGTCAAATACTTGGAGAAGGCAATCGTACTGTTAATCATTGCACATAATTAATCTTTCTATTGTTGCCAGCCTTTAACTAATTGAAACTGTTGGTCTTCGTGGGTAGAGAGAAATAATGTACGTAGTACATTAGAATTTTCATAAAATTCTAATTATTACTGCATTGTATCTGGTCCCGACAATTACACGACCTGTCAATTAGGCAGCTATGTCAGTTAAGGTGATTGTACACAGGATTACCTTTTTTTTTTTTTTTAAAAAAAGGCCCTAGTGGCAATAACACTCGCCTAAGTGGGAGATTGCGGATTTTATTCACTCACCCCCCCCGGGGTATTTAAAAAAAAAAAATTGGTCGCTTTGTCGTGAGATTCATTAATTATGGTCCCTGCCAATTAAATCATAGATTCACAATATAAAACACTGTTTTTTCTTGCTCAGTGATCTGGAGTTGAAGCCTGTGGGCATATTAGAAGTCAAGCTTGTGCAGGCTAAGGAGTTAACAAACAAAGACATTATTGGTAAATCAGACCCCTATGCTGTGCTGTATGTACGACCTTTGCGTGACAGAATGAAAACTAGCAAGACAATTGTAAGTCAATGTACTGCCCCCCCCCCCCCCAATTTATTCTCAATTCAGAAAGAAATAACATTACTATTTTTTCCGTCCAGAACAATGATCTGAATCCAATTTGGAATGAACACTTCGAATTTATTGTCGAAGATGAATCTACTCAGCACCTGGTGGTTAAAGTTTATGATTCTGAGGGCTTAATGGCATCTGAATTGATTGGTTGTGCGCACATACGGCTCAGTGAACTTGAGCCTGGTAAAGTAAAAGATGTGTGGTTGAAGCTGGTCAAGGATTTGGAGGTCCAAAGAGATAACAAAAATAGGGGTTCGGTAAGTAATCGTGTCCCACTTGGTTAAACAATGATAATTAGGGGCCTCTTTTCTTAGGAGACAGTCCAGATTTTTCTGTAAATTTTGGATCCAGTTACTTCTTTTCTTTTCCCCGATAAATATAACCCGTCCCAAGAGCCCCGTATATTGAGGTGTATACATATGATAGTACAAGTATTAAAACAACAACAATCATATGAAAATGTATACATGTTTACCCACGTCAAAAGTGTCGGACTCTGGGTTTAAGCGATAATGTTTGACATAAGTTATACACAAAGATGACTTCCCTTAAAGTATAGTTGCCTTAAAGGTTTCAAGTTTTTGTGGTCAATATGAATTTGTAATCATGTCTTTTCTTTGTCCCTAGGTATATTTATCATTTTATCTCTATAGATATAGATATATTTGACAGAATGAAATATATTTTCTTTTCAAATAATTGTTTCTCTTTGTGCTTAGGTACATTTGGAGCTTTTATACTATCCTTTTGGCATGGAGACTGTGTTTACCAACCCTTTTGTTCGCAATGATCCATTGACATCCTTAGAAAAGATTCTTAAAAGTTTAGCAAATGGAATAGAATGTACTGGAAACGGAAATGAAGTTACACAGAAGAAAAGGGACGTTATAATCAGAGGAGTCCTTTCTGTTACGGTGATATCTGGTGAAGACTTGCCTGCGGCAGATTTTACGGGGAAATCTGATCCTTATGCTGTTCTCATCATGAAGAAATCAGAAACAAAATGCAGAACCAGGGTAAGCAGCAAAACTAGTACTCCTTTACTGTGATAGACCAAAAACCTAGACTAGCATCTATTATGTTATTGTATTGAAAATCCTTAAGATGAGCCTGTAAATAGGACATGTGATCAATCTTTGTCTTCTTTCTTTAATCTTTTTGCCTCCTTTTATCCTGGGGTGTGTTAGAGGAATCCAGGAGTTCATCCGCTTTTGTCCATGTTCGATCCTCTTTCCACTTCCTGTTGCCTAAGTAGTTATTCCCAAGATATTATGAATTTACTGACCTTGGAAGCTGTTAAAATTTTCAGGTTGTGAATAACACCTTAAATCCAGTTTGGAATCAGACTTTTGACTTTGTTGTTGAGGATGGATTACATGATATGCTAATGGTTGAAATTTGGGACCATGATACATTTGGAAAGGTAAAAAAAAAAAAGATCATGCATCATATAGTTTGTTACAAAATTTAGTTGATCAGGTACTGAAATTTAAGAGATTCTTGAGCAAACTTCATCATTTGCAAATGACAAGTAGACCGAGGAAATATAAAAAGACGTGTCTATGCCATTTATTAACGAGTCTTCATTTCCGGTCTGATGCAAAAGAAATTTTCACGGGAGACTTGTAGCAGTGAGCGATATTAGGTGCTAGATTAAAACTTTTGGCTGGGTACAAGCATCCTAAGTTGTAGATTGCGAAGTTCTGATACAGTCGGAAAGGAGAGAAGCACAATGGATATGTGAATAGAGTTCGCTTCTTTTCCCGCCCTACCCCCCTTTCTTTTCTTTTTTTTCCTCCCCGTTTTTCTCCAAATTCGTAAGAACTATAATACTAAAAGATCCAGAGTCTGGTTGATTTCTAACGGGACTAAGTTCTGAGATTTCACTGACAGATTTGCCCGTGAATGATGCAGGATTATCTGGGAAGATGCATATTGACCCTTACGAGGGTCATATTGGAAGGGGAATACGAAGAATGTTATGAGCTGGATGGGGCTAAATCTGGATCTTTGAGAATGTTTCTCAAGTGGTTGCCCCAGCCGATTTATAGGGCTGATTCCTGAGTGTTCCTTGCCAAACCTTCACAATATCCGCACCCCTCGATTTATACAAATTTTGCTCTCTGTTATTTGTGAGAAAATCGAGCTAGTGATGTACATAATTGTTTCATTCGATTAGAATTCGAAACCACCTCTTTTCTAGCCGCTCGTATTTCTCATTTGCTGGCTCACTGCTTTCTTTCCCGCCCGTCAAGCTCTCGGTAGAAGCGTTAATTATCTTTTTGCTAAGGTTTTATATGGACGTGCAGAAAGGGACAGCAAGATAAAGGAAAGGGCGGAGAAAAAGGTGAAGAAAAACAGTGTAATTCTTGAAAATGTGGTAAGCTGTTGCTCTTTTGGATTTCTGTTTGCAGTCTTAAATATTTCTTACAAAATAATATTCTAAACTTGTTGAGACGAAAGATAAATGATTAGATAATTTCATAGATTGCTAATATATAGAGCGGGAATTGTTTAGTATTGATATATATTTTGATCATTTGAAATTTTGAACATCCAATTATTTGTAGGTCGTGACTAGTTTTTTGGTAAAAAAAAAAAATTGTAGGTCGTCAATCTTGTCATGCACATAAGGTAAAAAGATATTACACATAAATTCAGTAATAATTGTCGTGCATATTTGGAAATCTATTGGGCATGTTTTGTTTTGTTTTTTGTTTTTTTTTCGCCAGCCAGTTGGACATGTTTTGACTAAGGCAATATAAGCAGCCTGAATTAACTTTTTTAACAAGTTAGGGCATGTTTAGTTTTGCATTTGCTAAAACTGTAGTTTGAATATAGTTGTCTTGGCAAAAGGTTTTTAGCCTTGGATAAAACTGAGTTTATGAAAAATAAGATTGACTAAGAAGTATTCGGGTAAAATCAAAACTATGGTTTTAAAAATACTTTTATGGTATACAAAATAAATATATAAAAGATTTTGTTTTGATTTGCAGAAAAATACTTATGAGAAGTGTTTTTAAGGTTATCCAAACACCCCTTAAAAACAGACACATGTCAGCTTCTTTACTAACAATAATTTCAGACTTAAAACATGATATGGGGGAAAAAGGGAAAGTATTGTGAGATTTCAAGGAAGAAGTATAATTAATAAAAAAATTCCTTTACGCATCATGAATCTTGTTATCATGAAATTTGTCATTCACTTATTATGAAACTCTTTGATAATTACATTCTTTACTAAAGACTCCATAGTAATTTCCCCAGGATAAAAAAATAAAAGCCGCAGGTCAATTTTCTTAAAAAAATTAATTATTTCAATTAGATTCTGCCACTTGTATTATTTTTTCCATATGCATTTAACCCCAAATGCCAATATAGGCAAAATAGAACACACGGCAGAATCTGGTTGGAGCAATGCCAATATAGATAATGATTCGATTCTAAGGAACCAGACTTGAACACTACTGCTAAACAAGGATTACAAAAGCGTTATATTTTGAAATGCGGGCAAAATCAGTTCCTCAAGAAAAACCATAATTTACAAACACAATATGATGGCGCAGGTTATGACTTACAAAAAAGAGAAGCCACTTAATAAGAAAATTATTACCATCATAAATTAGATCTTATTCTTCTCTCTTCCTCAACTCCAAATTTTCTACTCAGCAATTTCCCAAGGATAAAAGGATGTTCCTTCTCTCCAAAATCCAGACATGAACACGGATAACTATTAGTTCTTAACGTGTGGAATACAAGGCATGCATTTAGGCTAAGACAACAAATCATTTTCGAAAACGAGCATTACGAACAACGGGAAACTGAAAGCCACGCATCTTGGAAAAGACAACATTTTTGTTCATTCCACAACGTCACCTGAGAGAAAGATTTAGGCTCCTATAAATCGGAGGCAAGCCTTCCAAGAACACTGCTTACAAAATACTTCTTCAGTTTTCTTCTCCTCCTATTCTTTCCCCTGCGTTCCCAGAAATTCAACCATGCAGCAGTTATCCTTAGCATGACCGCACATAAATGCAGATTAAGAAGAAATAAAACAAAACCACAATCTGATTGTTCCAAACACAATTATTCCAACATATTGGGTGTTCTACAAAAATAAAATAAGATAAGATAAAATAAAAAAATGCATTGATTGGATGCGAGTGCAAATTCTACACAATGGGACCATTTCGTGAGATACAGAAAACATTCTAAGCTCTTGAGTTTATGAATATCTTGTCCACCAAATTAATCTATGAGCTAATTAACGAGGATCCGGTAGCAGAGGAATATGTCAAGTTTTAACTTAAGGGATAATTAATGCGTCCAGAAAGCAATGCTGGACTTTTAGCTTGCTACTCTGATCACCAAAGCACAAAAAAGGTGAAGTGAACTACCAATATTGATTATGCAGTATGAAAGAGTCAGTTGGCACTTTCTTGCCATCGTCATTACGATTCCAGTGGTACATAGCATGAGTCCTGTTCATTATCTCCAGAGTTGAGTGTCCAAAGCTGGCTTCCCGAAAGGCAGAATATTCTGGTTGTGGTTCTAAAAATCTGCACAACCAATGAAACATTTTAAGCATAGACATGCTATATCCAACAAGGATTTCACTTATGAAGAACTGTATAGAGACATACTACCTCCGACCCTTAATATAAGAACGAGTTGACTAATTTGAGTAGATTAAAAAAATTAGTTAAGTTAGTTATTTGTAATAAATAGATATTAACTTTCCTAAAATATCCTTGCTAATCAAGTGTATTAGTTAGAACTACAATTATCACAAGGATTACCTTAAAAAAAAAAAGATAAATATGAGAGACAAAGTGGACTGGGATATTATATTTAAGACCAAAATAAAAGTATAAGGAGTTCTTATATTAAAAACTGATGGTAGTATATTATATGTTCATCAACTCCTAAGTAAAAATGCTACCAACTTCCAGAATAAAGTAGCTCAAATTACCTTGCAGCAAGACCTTCTTGATTTCCTCCATCTCCGACAGTTATGTACACAGGAGCTGCTTTGTCAGGTATAGGGTAGCGGTTGCCGCTTGTAATGTTGTAGTTGATATTGGAGAAGCGGTACTGAAAACAAGATAGATGCATTCAACACATGAGAAGAAATATATTGTGCAGAAAACAAGTAGCCACGACAGCAAACCAAGGCTATGTGGGAATTTTCCTTGTCAACCTCGCATCATTGTGACTAAAGCACCAAACAGGATAGTTTCCCTAACTAATAATTCTAAAGCAACATGCAACTCTTTGCTACTTCAAGAACAGAGAAAAGAACAAGGTCAACAAACAAGGTTGAGAACCATACTGATCTTTCATAAGCATGGACATGGCCAGCAAAAACCACATCAACTTTGTAATGAATGAACCAGCTCTCAAATACTGCTCGCATGCTGTCACCCTCCATATAGTGAGCTTCATTACTGTTGTATAGTGGAACATGCATCAGAACAATGAGCCAAGGCGTCTTATCCCTATCAACCCTCTTCAATTCTTCATTGAGCCACATATACTGGGGTGTGTACTTTACTGCCGGCAAATATCAGTAATTTATCATATTACCCATCGAGAAAGCTGTTTCCACATTTCAAAGAATACACTACAAAATTTGGCAAAGGGAGAATGTCCAGTTGTTACCAAAGGGAGAATAGCTGGATAGCACAATGATATGAGCAGATGCACGCCTAATAGAATACCAGAGAGGGCTGCTGCTTTTGGAAGCCAGATAAGGAGTAGTATATCTGTGAAGATAGGATTTGAAAGGAACAACCTCCCCCTGACCACGAAGATTCAGTTAAAAGCAACATAGAGCCAATTTATATCTCACAAATGCAGCGTTGGGTAGATCAACTACCTTATCACAATGTTCAGGCTGATTTTTCAACACATTTTTAGGGAACAACTAAAACATGGACATAATGGAACACGATAGTTAGATAGAATTAACAAATGCAGCGTTGTCCAAGTCATACTTATTATAGATGAGCTTTGTGGAGAAACAAAAGTTTATTCCTAGCAAATTTTCCTGGGGGCAGTGATTTTAGGATAATGCCAGAGAAGGAATAAATCCAGTGAAGAAGTAATTCAGAACATCCCTCCCCAGCCCCCACCCCTTGAAAAAGCCCCCTAATTCCTAATTAAGAAGAGGAAAATTGAAATCATTATTTATTTGCTTATTGATCCAGAAAATAGTAAAACTCTCATTTCTAAGTGATTTAGTGCAGATTACAGACAAGAATATTGAATGCACGTCCAGTCTTAAATTCATATTATAGTATTATACCATGTCGGGCATGTACTCAATTTCATGATTTCCAGCAGACCAAATCCATGGCTGATATGCTGCACTCCTTTCAACGAACCGACCCCATGTATCCCATCGTGTACCAACATCATTATATTTATACCTATCCGCATAAGAAAGGTCTCCAACAAATAGGACAGTCTTTGCTCCACTCTTCATGTAGTGGTCAAGGGTGGAAAAAGAGTTATAAGTTTGGCCCAAATCACCTGCAACATTCATGAAATAATCATTTATGAAAATCAAAGTTTCAAGTAAAGGGGGAAAAAAAACTAAAAATGGAATCCCAAAAATACTTTATGAATTAGCTGTTGAATGATTCTGCAATGATATATGGATGGCAGTGAAAAAATAACCAAATTTTTTGGTAAAAAAAGAAGAAGAAGACATAACCAAAAATAATATTGAAAGTCAGGATATATTAAAACATTTCCCATTATAATAGTAGAACATGCGTCAAAAATGTATCACATACCTATGATCCCAAATTTGTAAGGAGCATCTCGGTCAACTTTGGGAGGTGTTTCAAACCAAAATTCTCGAGAAGAATCACCACTTCCTATTCTGTAGTAGTATTCAGTGTTATACTGAAAAGAGCAAGCCATGAGATTAGCGAAGCAAACATGCTCCTAAATCACACAGTGGGATAATAAAAATTAGTCTAGGAAAGATGAAAAAATGTGCTCATAACAACAATTACCTCAAGGCCTTCAATAAGACAATGATGAATGTAGCCAGACTTATATTGGTAGAAGGTATAGTTTGTCACCGTCCCTTCTGCACTAAATTGATATTTATTGTCTGATTTCCCATATTGTACTTTGCTGGGCCCTGGTTCATCCGGTGTGACCCATGAGATGATTACAGCTTTTCCATCATAATCACCTTGAGTGATGTGCACCTAAGGAGGGAATATTCAGCATATAAAAGTCACCACAAGTTAAAATTCATTAATATTATATCACTGTTAGAACAGAAGGAAACACTATCATCTAGTCATGGTCAATTAAGCCACTTTTTACAGTTCAACATTTCATATAGATATTCCTAAGAATTCTAGTGTTTCTCATGTACTCTGTG